CTGGGATTAAAGGTGTGCGCCACCACACCCGGCTGCTTTTAGATCTTAAAACATTTTCTTAGATAAACAACTTAGGCTTTTATGTCTCTCAACCTTTATAAACTTTATATCTCTTATATGAGTTTCTTTTCTGAATTTGGTAACAAAGAAAACTGTGACTATAACTATCTCATCTTCAACCCCATCAGAGACCTGAGAAGGATATAATATTACCTGAGTAAACAGGAAGTGCAGAGCAAGCAACTTCCAAAATTGTAAAAAAACGACAGAGACATCTGGCTGCCTAGACAGTCACCCAAGGTTCCTCTGCAACATGGAGGCATCCATCTTCAGCCTACAGACCTAGAATATCTGACAGACTTTTCTGTGAAGCAGGAATTTTGAAGGACTGTCCTACCTTGTCTTGGCAAAGTTCAGCAGTTGCTTTCTTTTGTGTCTGTCCTGCATGTCCAGTTTGAACAACATACTGTCAGCAGTATAGGCAAGGGCAGTTTCTTGCCCAAATGGCTAGCTTTACCACAATGAAAGCAAACTCCATATATATGAAGGTTCTTTGATGCCCATCAAGCACGTGTGTCTCACTGTCATGAAAAATCTTATGTTATTACAACATCTTAAATGCCATATTCTGTAGGTCTTTGAAGTGGTTTAAGACCATCTATTTAAAATATATGTTTGACCTTGAAAACATACCTAACATGACAACAAATTTGATTGATATAGATGACTAACTACTAACCTACATTTCTTAATTATCTTAGATAGTTTCTAATAATAGCCTTTAAGAACTAGAATGTTACATTTTAAAATGAGCTGCATAGGTACAATACCTTAAACAAGAGTAGAAACATATATACAGTATGTTCTAACAAAAATAACCTTAATTTTGTATCAATATGAAAAAAATACCTTAAGCAAGAGTGGAAACATATATTCAGTATAACAAAAATAACCTTATATTTGTATCAATACCTCAAAATCCATACCAATGTAAAATATTTAAGACTGGTAGTTGCTTTTTTAGTTTAAAAGTAGATTTGATAATCTAACCTTTCATCCTATCCTTCCTATATCCCTCTTTTTCTTTTCAAAATGAGATCCCTGAATCTAAACTCCTTTGCTTAGCTTTTTTTCCTGACCATGATCAATAACAACTTGTAACCAATTCCCTTAAATGATGATAAACATCCATAACCCATCAAATCACCAAGAATCATCTACCCCACCTCTTGGGAATATAGCCAGCATGTTTTCTAGACTGCTTCCTGTTGTCTGGAGGCAACGGCATCTTTAGGGGATCCTAAGAAAACTGAGATAATGGTCAAGTCCTGGGAGATCTAGCTGTATTATTTGTTTGTTTGTTTGTTTGCTTAGTCTCTGTATGATGGGAATGTGTAGAGCTTATCTGAAGTCCTGGCTGGAGTAGTCTGTGAGGCTGGACCATCTCAGCTAATAGCTTTGAAGTTGTTCTAGATGCAGAATTTTGAGGAAACTGTAACAGGCATTCTGAGAAACTGGATCCTCTAGGCTACTTATCTTCATTGGTATCTGGTCGTTTTTTTTCTGAAAACACACAAATGTTTTAAATTAACATATATTTGCATTAACACAAGTATGGAATGTGCAGTGTGTACAAGTCAGCTAAAGATGATTTTCTCCTTTATGTTTGAGCAGGTAAAAGGCAATTGTCAACTTTATAAGTCCATTTGGACTGTATAATCAAACCTCTATCCATGCCATATGAAAGGATGGCATGTAATAATAAGTCACGAGGACTCTGTAGCCAGCAAGATGTATCATGTCTCATCGCGTCTCAGAGCTAGCTGTTCCCATGCAGAGGGCATCAGCATACATGTCACCTGTCTTGTAGTCTTTCCTGGATTCCTCCCTCATGTCTGCAGCCAAGATCCTCAGGAGGACTCCCCTAGTCAAATCTGATCTTTGATAATTTTGAAGGAATCCCCATAGCTTTTCGTTTCCTGTGGAAACAAAAGCACAGTCTCTTCCCCCATTCTGTGTATCCGACTCATTCTGGATTTCAGTGATGTCTCCTGTGCGCCTCAATTATCTCCTCTTCCACTCTTTACCCGGAAGTCCCGCCTATATCTCCTGCCTAGCTATTGGCCATTCAGCTTTTTATTACACCAGTCACAGTGATACATCTTCACACAGATATCCCATAATAGAAGTCTTTAGTTTGGGGCTGTCCCCCTACCAGTCTTTCCTAGGGTTCATGCCCTAATCTACTTCTCTTCTGCTCTGGTCCTCTCTCTTCAAATGAGGAAGACAAGATGGGGAGTGTCTGTTTCCTCTGCCACACAGGGAAGAGTGTAAGAGGGCAGGTTCTACCCTTTGGACACTCACACCCCTGCCTGGCAGCAGAAATTCTGAAAGCCCCAGGTGTGCGACTGGCCTTTTCAACAGCGTGTGGTGCCATGGCTATGTGGAAGGTATTCCTACCAAGTGTTAGATGAGTGGGAGAGGCCTATCTATGTGCACATTCTTAGAGATACTGGGGAGTCAGAATTTGAACCCAGAGCCACAGCAGACACTGAAATCAACAGTAGCTCCACCCCCTCTCATGGCCTTTACATGGAACTAAGGTGACATGAGAAGGACACAGGGTCTCTACAGACACTATAGGTCAAATACCAAAGGACCCAGAAGAGCTGCCCTGTTCTCTATACCGTCTGTGCTGCCCCACAGAAGTCACACTGCTCTGTCTCTTGGGATCCAGGTGGTTGAGATATCCAGCCTGACGGAACACCTGCTGACAGAATGTGACAGAAGGGACGGGTTTGGGAAGTGCCACCGCTGCAGCGAGGCTGTTCCCAAGGACGAGCTTCCCAGGCACATCAAAACTAAGGAGTGCAACCGTGAGTGTCATCTGGTCACCAGGTGTCCTCCCTGGTCATGGCCCAGCTACTGTTGGGGGTCAGGCCTGGGCATTGTGGGATTAGATGCATCCTTCCTCTCCCTGAGAGTTCACTCAAGTAACCAAGTCTTTGTTGAAATCATTTCAGCTGCCAAATCGGAGAAGGTGGCAAACCGATGTCCTCTGTGTCATGAGAACTTTGCCCCTGGAGAAGAGGTGAGGAGGCCTGAGCTGAGAGGGAGCAGCAGGGAAGCACTGGACATATACTTAGGATGATGGTTATGAGGCATAGTGCCCTCCTGGCTTCCTAACAGCTGAGTCTCAGTCACTGGGAAGTCAGAAACCATGGTTTTACACTTCCTGGTCATGGCTTTCATGTGTGGATCCAGGCCTCCCTGGCATCATGATCGGGTCTGTAGCCCATAACCATTTGGAGTAACAAAATGTTCCCCATAGTGGTTGATAGTTCTCTTCCTTCTCAGTGACATACTCTCCTCCCGTCCTCAGTAAGTAGCATGGTGACGCAGGCAGCTTTTTGGCATGGACTTTGCCTTTGGTGTTTGGGTATGCTTGCAGGGCCCGGGGTATCCATGGATCTACCCCTTTCTAGCTGTCTACACAATACAGTGGTGGTGCCCTCCAGGCCAAGCAGCTCTAGAGACCTTCTCTTGGCTCTGCTTCTGCCCCAGGAGATGCTATAGAGCCCAATACTCTTTCAGGTCACCTTTCTTCATCACCAGTGTTGTGTGACCTTTTCTGGGGAGACACACACATATATTCACCCCAGAGAAGGAGCCCACAATAGTACAATACCAAAGTCCAACTTAGTGAACCATGAGTTATACTGGGATAACTTAAGAGGAATATATTTTGAGTTGTTTACCTTCTTGCTTAAGGAATTTCCCCACTGGATGAAATGTTTCAATCTTGAAGGAAACTATCACACACACACACTGGGCAGCTTTCAGAGTGACAGGCCAGCGCACTAGGTGGCAGCTTATCAGCTTTTAGTGTCTTGCTAAACTCTTGAATAACAACAGATACAGAGCTGCGGCCATCCCTGTCCTTATGGATGATCACCTCTGGACAACAAGGGCCCCTTTGCCTAATTTCCTGAGACTTTGGAGCTGACTCATACATGGCCTTAGGTAGCATCCTCCTATCTGGAACATTCTGCCCAGCCCAGGAATCAGCTGTCCTGCTAAGGGTGTGGCCCTCTTAGCAGGCCTCAGTGCTCAGCACAGGGAAGACCACTGCTGCCAAGCCACAGTGGACAGAGCTGGGACACTTTCATGTCACAACCTGCCAGTGCACACTGCTGTCTCCCATCCACACCCAGCCAGTGCTCCTTTCTCACCTTGTCTTCCTGGAGTCCCAGCATGCCCCCACCCCAGTTCTGTAGCCTCACCAACCTCAAAGGCCCTGAGGACATGAAATTAGTGTGTCTACCCTAGGACAGCTCAAACAACACCGGAGTCCCCGGGGTCTGACCAGAGTGGATGTTCTGTTAGAGCCCAGGGCAGGGGATAACCAGAGTCAGGTTCTGTTCTGGAGCCCAGGGCATAGCTCCACCAGCCTGGACACCCGCTGAAGACATGCCTGGGTGCATTGTTTTCATTTCACTGGTCTAGGGGCTTGAGTTCTATAGATGGTCTCCCCAAGTCTGTAAATAAGGCATGTTCAAAGAACTGCATCCAGGCTGAGGCTGCTGTCCTTGTCCCCTCCTTACCCTGTGCTAGGAGGACTTGTTCACACCTGCACATCCACAGACTCTGCCTTCCACTGCTCATTTGTAATTTAGGAACCTTCATTTTAAATTGCTGTCTTTACTGACCCACTCCCAACCTCCCATGGTCGTCTCTCTTTTCTCATCGCTCTGCTGGTCTCCGTCTTGAGCAGTACTGAACCAGCCCGCAGCTTCCTCCTTTTTCCCCTCTGTGCCCACCATCTGCCTTTCACTAATACCCTCTCTCTGTCAGCAGCTGTATGCTGTTACTTGCTTTCCCTGTTCTGGCTGGCTGTGCTATACAACACAACCCTACTTCACCCTGCATGACAACATCCATTTACCACCTCATGGTTCCCGATTCAGGGCCTGGGCAGGCAGACCTCCTAGGCTGCCATGGAGCTACTAGCTAACCTACGTGTTCACCTGCAGCTCATGGGGAAGGGCCCACTGCCTAGTGCTTCCTAGATGCTGGCAGAAATACGTCCTCATGGCCACAGGGCTCAGGTTCCACTCATCCAGGGTGGAATGTGAAATGCATACTCACCAGCCTATGAAAGTCAGGTGCTAAGGCCAAAGAAAGGCAGGGAGCTAAGCCTCTCACTGGTTAGCACCTCATTCTCATTATGAACAGTGAGTTGTCTACTTTGGTAGCACCCCAGGCCCCTTGGAGCCACCAGGCTAACATGCTGAGCCTCCTCCTTGTTGCAGGCATGGAAGGCTCATCTGATGGGCCCTACCGGCTGCACAATGAACCTGCGCAGGACACACATTCTCTCCAAGGCCACAGCCCCACAACAAGGTGAGGTATAAACCACGTGTGGGGCTCCTGTATTCTGCTCTAGCTTAAGTGAAATGCATCCTGAGCTTCCTGTCCATGTGCAGCTGACCTGCTAACCCCATCTCCAAGTGCAGGCAATGGCTGCTCCTCACAAATGCCTCCTGGAAGCTCACTGGGGGCTGGTAAGGCTCACCACAGCTGCTGCACCTTGGCTCTTTCTATATGACTCACTCTGAAGGATTTAGAAACATGATGTTAACTGCACTCACAGAGAAAGCCACTGCCCTCTTTACATCCCACCATCTAAGGCATTCCATTTCAAATTTAAGACAGCCTCTCAGGAAGCATCTTTTGCTAAGAGGTGCCTCCAAGGCAAAAGACCTTTGGATATAGTGACACCATGTGATAAAACAGTGACCTGTCCTGGGGTTGTAGCTCAGTGTTTCAGTACTTATATATAAGGAAGGCCCTCCATTCCATTCCTGGCTCACCAGGAAACAGTGGCCCATGTTCCTGCTCAGGCTGCACCAGGTGCAATGCCCAGGGCTCACATGGCAAGATCTTCTCTTCACCCAGCCTCTTAGAAGTAAGTGGGCACAGGTCCGTGGCTCCTTGTCAGGTTCACTTAGCCACAATCACTGTGGCTGCTGACACATGTCTGGAGTTGGGTCATTGAACTGGTGGCCTTCTGTGCCATGCATTCTTTGTCTTCCTCTCCCTCTGCCATGTGGGTATCTCTGTCCCAGTATGGGTTCTCCCAGCAATCCTCACAGTCACTGTGGAGTCTGCATCCCACCTGTGGGTAAGAGTTCCTCTTTTCATGTGGTTCTGTGTCCTGTGCATCTGTCTCCACTGCAGGGAAGGGCCCAGCAGCATCGAAGTCAGGAACCTCAGGACCCAAGGTTGGAAGCAAGATACCCACCCCAAAGGGGGGCCTGAGTAAGAGCTCCAGCAGGACATACACAAGACAGTGACAGTTTCTGTCTCTGCCAGGGCTGTGCCAGTTTCCCCATTCTAAGCCATGTGTGTTGACGTAGTGATGCTGGGCTCAGTACCGCTGTCCCTGGCCTCTTGTGTCACAGTGTCTGCTCTCACAGGAACAGAGTGTGTGGATTTGACCAAAGAACCCTCCCAGTCTAGGTCCCACAGTGCTGGACCCTTTGTCAGTGCCCAGGCACAGAAGCACATCTTGCTCAGGAAACAGCAGTGCAGCACCCACTTCCCTTACTACTGAGATGTACCCTAAACGTTGAGCTCACTGGTGTCTGTTGCACGTTGTGGACTTTGCACAGGGCTGAGCTCACCTTTGGTGGCCCTAGAGGACAGCAGCAGGCCAGGCTGAGCCTGCTGTGCCGTCTCTCATACGCCTGTCTGCTAGGTTGTCACGCCATGTACAGCAACAAGCAATAAAGGAAAGCAAGCAAAAGAGAGCCATTCTAAGAACAGTCCCCTCCAACACACTTTGCCCAGTGCTCCTTGTGCACACCTATCCTCATGACCCCACTGACAGCCCTACCTTGATGCCATCTGTCAGTGGCTCAGAGTCCTAAGTGGATTTTGGATGATGTCCCCCTGGCTACCCTATTCTCACCTGACCATAGCCCACCTGCAACCCACAAAGACAAGTCCCGCACACCTTGCTGGCCCAGAGCCTCCAAATGAGTTGTGTTATGTTCCGTGATGTAAGTGAACCCACTCTCCAAAATCATTCATAGTATGTCCCTCACAAGTGCTTCACTGAACAATGGCTCAGACCTCAGGAGACACCTGCCAGCATCCTCACCTGCCTTCCTACCAGGAGCTCTGGTCAGACAAGCATCTGTGGGAAGGACCGAGTCCATCTGAAGCTCCTGTCACTGTCCCTGGCCACCATGGGATGAAGGGCGGCCCACTGAGGCCCTGCACTGAGCCTGCTTCCTGAGGTTTTCCTCATGTCCCTTTGAAATGTCTAGGATTGAGAAAATTAGTGTTATAAAAATTAGGGCATATTTCTTTAAAATTCTCAACCATGTAAAACAAAATCCATAAACATGTATAGGTGCCTAAGCAGCGAGCATGCTGGGTAGTTAATCCCATGAACTCAACCCCTGCTTTTGGCAAACAGCTCCTACTGTGCTTGGCCCAGAGCATCAAATGGAACAGCGTTTGTTGAGAGGAGAATCCTGTCAAAGGCCTTGAGTGTGGAGAGCACGAAATGACTGAGAAAGCCAAGCACAGGTACCATAGGGTAACAAGGAGGTCCTTCGGGTCAGACGCTGGCCATTGTCTTCTAGCCCATCTCAAAGTATGGACAGCAATGGAAAGTTAACCTCAGAACTTAAGAAACAGATACCTGTAATGCTTTCTATCTGTTGTAACCTTAAGCTATTTGTAAAAATCCTTCCTTCTTAGCCTAGCACAGTGGCTCACACCTGAACTGGCGCTTGGGAAGCCAGAGTCAGAAGCTCACCACAAGTTCAAGGGAAGCCTGGCTCCAGAATGAGACTCTGGCTCAAAATTAAACAGAACAGAAAATAATCCTTTGTTTTTAGCTCCCACGTTTGCCTGTTACAGAATCATGAGTTTCTGCAGAGGTGACTGGCGGTATTGGCAGCCACAAAGCTCCACACCACTGTGCTTGATTCAGGGAAGGAGCTAATAACCCCACCACTGATAATATCAAAATGTGGAACACTCCTCATGCTTCACATATGATATGTTGTGGATATTTAATATTTATTTATATTATTTTCATAAAAGATTCTATTAAATCTAATTTAAAGGAATTGTGTCATATCTGATACTAGAATACAAATGTAAATACCTTTAATGAAAATTTGCAACTTTTTAATGTTTTAACATAGTTTTTCTATTTGTCTTTCTTTCAGGTACCAGAATTATAAAATAATATATTTTTATTGCTATTGTTTTAGGGTTTATGTGCTAATTTGCCTTGAGTACATTAATACAGTAAAAAGATCATTCAGTGTTTTGTCACTTTTATTTTGAGATTTTATATACCTATTTCTTTTGTTTTTTATTAGATTTATTCCTTTTATGTATGAGTGTTTTGCCTACATGTATGTTGGTGCACCACATGTGTGCCTGGTGCCCATGGAGGTCAGAAAAGGGCAACTAGATCCTCCTCTGCTGGAGTTATGATTATGGTTATGAATGAGTCACATAAAGTATGTGAGTACTGGGAATTGAACCCAGGTCCACTGCAAGAACAATAAGTGCTCTTAACCACCAAGCCATCTCTCAGCCCTGTTTTTGTTTCTGAGTCAGGGTCTCACTATGCATCCCTGGTTGGTTTAGAGCTCATGGTATAGACTAGACTGCCCTTGAACTCAGAAATCCACACATCTTTTCCTCCCAAGTGCTGGGATTAAAGGCAAGCACCACTATGCCCAGCTCAAAGTAGTAATTAAAGAGTAAGCAACTGTAGGGCTGGAGATGTAGCTCAGCTGGTAGTGTGTTTGCCCAGTGTACACAAGGCCCTATGATGGATCTCCCAGCATTTGAGAATTAGAAGCAGGGGATCCCAAGTTCAAGGTCATCATTTGGCTACATGTGAAGTATAGGCTAGCCTGGGCTACATGCAGCCCTACCTGCAAAGGAGGGGAGGGTGTTATAAATCACTCTGAAGTTGTAGTGAGAGTAGCTCAGCCCTTAATGTTGGCAGAGTCTTGGGAGAGCTGGGTCTCTAAAGCACTGTTGAAAATGAGTTATGAGTTTACTATCAACATGCAGAACAGAGAATTCACCCTGTAGAATGACTTCTCAAGAAGAGGCAGACTGACCCATGCTGCATTCATTCTGCAGGCCTAGAATGCAAACAAACACAGATAAACTTAAGGCATCATTTTAAAGGGGGTGGGTTTTTTGGTTGGTTGGTTGGTTGGTTGGTTGGTTGGTTGGTTGGTTGGTTGGTTTGTTTAAAAGGTCTCATCATAACCCAGGCTGACCTCAAACTCTCCCACTCTGTCCCTTCCCCAGCTCGAACATCCTGTTCTATGGGGGCCATTTCACTCAAACCGACACGGCCTTTTTCCCCCACTGCCAGGTCAGGCTGATCCTAGACAGACCTTCTCAGTGGTCGGGCAGAGCCCCATCCTTGCAGACCACGGCCCTTCACCACAGTCTGACCATAGAGGTAGCTCTTATGGAAGAGGCCCAGGAAGGGGCCCAGGAACCTTATTCAAAACAGGTGAGGGTGTTGCCTGCCACTAGGCTCTTAATCCCAGGGTCTGATCCTCCTGCCTCCCCTTCTCCATACTGACATTACAAGCCTGTGCTACCATATCCACAGCAAGGATTCCCAACTGCACATGTTGGGTCGTGGGTTCGTGCCCCACGTCGGGTGCCAGATATAGTGAGAAATCCAAGGGAGTCTGTTTAAGGGGTATAATGAATTTATTAGGACATGAATTGGAAAAGACAACTCACTAAACAGAATAGGCAAATCATTGCAGGGTCCCATAAGGCTGAGGTCCTGTCCCACACTGTTCTGCCAATCCAATTCTGTACCATCCAAGCACATGAAGGAGAGAAGAGAGTACTGTACATGCCTCTCAGGTCTTAATGGTAGCCCTGAGGCCACACCCCAGGGGCTGGTACTTCAAGTTCATAGGTGGAAAGGTAACCACTACAGGTTTCAGAGGAGAAGAATATTAATATGTGGCCTAAAGACTGTTTTTGTGATATTTTAGTGAAGAGTGTATCTGCTTTCAACCCTTGTCTAAAATCTGGCCAAGGCTAAATTGAAGTTGGTAATTGTGTTGGCAGAGGAGATTTCAAAACAGCTGAGTGTTGACTGTGTCTTCTAGTTATTAGTGGCCAGTCTTATTCAGATCTATAATGAAAAGGAGCAAGCTGTGTGGTGGTATTGTGTTCCCCAAAATATTGTGCACCCTAATAAACTTATCTGGGGTCAGAGACAGAACAGCCACTAGATAGAAAGTCTAGAAAATGGTGACACTCACACCTTTAATCCTAGCATTCCAGAGGCAGAAATCCATGTGTTCAATCATGGTGACTCATGCCTTTAATCCCAGAAAGTGAGCCTTTAATCCCAGGGAGTGGTGGTAGAAAGCAGAAAGGTATATAAGGCGTGAAGACCAGAAACTAGAAGCTTTCAGCTGGTTAAGCTTCAGGCTTTCGAGCAGCAGTTCAGCTGAGAGCCATTGGGATGAGGACACAGAAGCTTCCAGTCTGAGGAAACAAGACCAGCTGAGAAGTTGGCCAGGTGAGGTTAGCTGTGGCTTGTTCTGTCTCTCTGACCTTCCAGCTTTTCACCCCAATAACTGGCCTCAGGTTTGATTTTATTAATAAGAACTTTTTTAAGATTCCTGCTACAAAGCTGAGCAAGGAAAAAATACGAAATGTATAATTTGAGGAGAAAAGGGGTACCCAGGGAGTATAAACAGTTTAAAGAAAAGACTCATGCTAAGTGCAGTAAAGGGAGTGGTGATCTCAGAGAAAGATCACACCCAGCTAAGCTTCCAACTTATGAAAAGGAATTGTAGAAAAGCTCAGGGCCAGGTGTAGTGGCCCATGCCTTTAATCCCAACACTCAGAAGGTAGAGGCTGGCAGTTCAAAGCTGGCCTGGTCTATACAACTAGTTTCAGGACAACCAAGCTTAGGCAGTAAAGGAAACCATTGGCAAGAGAAAACTGGTGAAAATGTATTTGAATGAGGTGACTGTACTGCCCCAGCAAGCAGCAGAACTTGGAGGCATCAGCCAGTGGTTCTAACTTTAAAGTCCAGGATATAAGAGAGGGGTTATGGAATCTTCCTCTGCAACTAAGAAAAGCCCCTGAGGCCAGGCATGTGTCAGGGGTGCCCTTACATGGAGGCCTTTGTGTGAAGCTGTGAAGGTGAAGCCTGGATTGCCTTGGAGACCCCAAGATGTTGGAGATGCCAGAGTCATGGGATACCTGCTGAGGAGAGCTGCTAACAGAGTGGAACCAGCCCAAGAGAGAGAAGTGTTACAGTCAACAGAGCTGAAAGGAGTTGGAGATAGCACTTTGACATCAGACATAGAGATGCAGAATTTGGAGTTTGCCCAGCTGGTTTTCAGATTTGCTTTGGTCCAGTATTTCCTCACTGTGCTCCCTTCCCTACGTTTTGGAATGGTAATGTATATCCTGTGCCAGTGTATGTTGGGAGTATGTGATCTGGTTTTTTATTTGATTTTACAGGTAAGAGATTGCATTGTGTCTCAGAAGAGACTTTGAACTTTGGACTTTAAAACAGTGTAGAGCTATTATAGACTATGGATGGGGACTTTTAAAGTTGAACTCAATGCGTTTTGCATTATGACATGGCTACAAGCCCATGGGGGCAGAGTTTTGTTCTAGCCTATTATTTCTGACCACTAGGTCTCACGCTGGAGCATTAATTACTGCCTATGGAAACTTGATAGCTCCCCCCTCGAAGGAAGACAGAACTACTTCAACTTCTTGGACCACCTTGCAGGACCAGAACGTAAAGATGGCTAGGTCATACATTGACCCAAGACGGCTCCCTCCCACCAGTACCGGGGATTGAACCTTGGGCTGGCATATGTTTCTAACAACTGGGTTGCCTCTTGTTGCCTGTCCCAATTCTTCCTCTACTTAAACCTAAGGCACACGTCAGTACCCTGAAGACAGGCTACGGGGTTCACTGGAGCCCTTTCCCTCATTCCAGTATGCCATACTGACTAAATCTATTCTCATTGCCTGTCTTCTTTTATTATTTTTGAGATGTGGTCTCATGTCGCCCGACTGACCTCAAACTTGCTATAATGCTGAGGGTGACACTGAACCCCTAGTCCTCCTCCCTCCGCCTGCTGAGCGCTGGGTTGGCAGGTGTGCACCGCCACGCACCGTTTAGGCAGTGCTGGGAATCAAACCGAGGGCTTCGTGCGCGACAGACGAGCGCTCTACTGATTGAGCGACATCCCCAGTACAATTGTGTCCTTGGCTGGCGTTTGGGTGTTGGGGAAGGCGGCCACCCTAGCCTTAGGATTCCCGGGACGACCCGCACCCACAGTGGACGGCCCCAGGGAGGCTTCCAAGTGGCCGCCCCGCCCACCCACCCCACACGTGCTCTCTGTGGTCATTTCCGGCTCCCGCAGGAAGTAAGCCACCGCACTCCGGAAGCGGCGCGCGGACGGTGTGATGGCGGCGGCGGCGGCGGCCGTATCCGAGGCCTGGCCAGAGCTGGAGCTGGCGGAGCGCGAGCGGCGTCGCGAGCTGCTGCTGACCGGGCCGGGGCTGGAGGAGCGGGTGAAGGCTGCGGGGGGACGGCTGCCGCCGCGGCTCTTCACGCTGCCGCTGCTGCACTACCTGGAGGTGAGCGGCTGCGGCAGCCTGCGTGCGCCGGGGCCCGGCCTGGCTCAGGGCCTGCCGCAGCTGCACAGCCTGGTGCTGCGGCGCAACGCGCTGGGACCCGG